GAGAGCGGTCACAATGACGAGCAGCATCAGGTACAAGAGCCGGATCCCTGTCAAAACAGGTGAGTGTGAATCGAAAAATAGTATTTTGGATGTAAACATAAATGATGGACCGAGGAAAAACAGTCTCTGCCTCACGTTTCTGTTTCTCTCGGCGTCGCATCCCTGCACCTGCCCCTCGGTCCATTCATCCATCGAACCATGTGTAATGGCCAATAGAGGACAGCACTGAGGTAAGGAGCTCCCCTACACTGATTTTTTTTTTCTTCTTTCTAAACGTTAATTGTCGGTGAAATTAATTTTTAATGTAACCCTGTGCAGCGCCCTCCAGTGTTTACCTTTTCTGACACACGGACCCCACTTCGCGTGCGCGTTTCTTTTTTTCTTTCTTTTTTTTTTTTGTGCGCCGCTAATGCTAGAAAAATGCTCGGCGTGAAGCTGTGGCAGCAGTGACTGATCTGTGATCAGCAGGGGGTTTCATTTATAGACGCAGATGTAGAGCAGGCCGCAGTCACAGCCAGCACATACCCAGGAGCATCCCTCTCCTCCGTGCTCTCACCCATCCTCCTCTCCATCCTCTCCTCTGCTGCTGCCTCCTCAGATGTTAGATGATCAGTTACAGCAAGGATCTCTACATCTGCACCAACCACCGTGCCTATTTCAGCTGCCTGTTATTGATAAAGTCAATAACACATGGGAGAGGATGGAGAGGTGGAGGCTGAGCCTCCTCCCCTACCTCCTCCTCCTCCTCCTCGTTCTTATACTAGTACAGTTAAAGAGAGAGAGAAAAAATCCATCAACAGATTCACTGGATTCATGATACAGCAAAAAATAAAAATAATAGAAGAGTTGTATAGAATTTTCTCTTTATTGTTAGTAATCATAATAATAATAATATAACAATAATAATATAGTATGGTACAGTATAGTTTAGTATAGTATAGTGCAATGGTTCTCAAACTGTGGTACGCGTGACACCAGTGGTACACGGGGGAATATTTCATATTTTCACATTTACATTTTTGATTTAATAAATCTGAAAGATACCATGTACAATTAATACAACATTTAAACATAAACATCTTTATGAACATTTCTAAACATCTCTCCTGTGGTGGAAGCTAACAGTGAAGGTCTATGCTGCTATATTCTAATGTTGGTCATCATGGTGGTACTCAGAGAGATCAAGGTTTTCTATAGTATAAACAGTTTGAGAACCACTGGTATAGTGTATATATTGATATATTATATAGATATTCACATGTTTTATTCAACCACCTAAATATAAACATGTTGTGTTTTAGTGTGTAAAAGTGTTGAGTTGTGGCGCTTTGGCCCAGAGGAAATGTCTCTGTCATTGGTGTGGAACCCCAGGGTTCACCTTCTTGGTAAGGCCGTTGGTACCTTCCAGTGGACTCACCTCCTGCAGGAAGGTTCGGGGGTGGTTGGTACGGTGCAGTGTGATTTGGGTGGTGGTCATAGAGACTGCTGCCCCCGCGACCCGGTAACGGATAAACGGACGAAAATGGATGGATGGAAGTGTTGAGTTTGTCAGAAAAACAAAATCATTTAGATATCATCTCTCTCTCTCTCTCTCTCTCTCTATATATATATATATATATATA